CACATGTCCTTTTCCTCCGGTTTTGGCGACCCGGCGGTTCGGCTGGTGTGTCCCCCCTTCAAGGACCTGGTCGCTCGTTTGTTATATATTTATATAGTGTTTTAAGTAGTATAATTAGATAGATATTGTTTAATTAAAAGTTCTAATTATAATTTTTAGAATTAGATATATCTGAGCTATTTTCTATTTTAGTGAAATTTTTTTTTTTTATATACAATATGTTATAAGTTTTTAAAGAGTTGTTTATATTTTTAGATTAGCTGTTTTAATTAATATATAACTAATATCTAATATAGTGTTATTGCTAAGTTTATTAAATATTGTGTTCTACTTTTCTGTATTAATATATTTGAGCAATTCAAAATAGCAAAATTTATAAATTTCTTTTTTAGGTTTATAAATCTTTGACTATTCTTTTCTGAAAAGGTTTTTGTTAACTTTTCTTTTGTAAAACTATTATTAGAAATGTTTTTAAGTTTTTTTTTTAATATAATAGCTAGTTCTATTACTAATATCTATAAGCTATTTTGCTAAATAATTAAATAATCAACTATAATATTTTTGTAAAGTTTGTCAAAAAGACTTTTTAGCATTTTACCTTGATTATTTTGTATTATTGAACATCTTTTTTTGGTATATTCTTTAATTTTCTTTTGTTTTTAATTTTTAAGCTTTATAGATAGTTTATTATATAATATATATTATTAGCTTTTAGAGTTTTCTATTCAATTTTATAATTATTTTTAGTTTATTTTTAATATATTAATTTGAAGATTTTTATTAAAAAGGTCTATAGTTCTGTTTATTTGATTTATACTCAAGTTCAGTTTTTTTTTCTTTATATAATTAATTTATTTAGGCTTGTAATAGCTTTATATAAATAGAACTTTTTTATTTTTCTTATATTTGTAACTATATTTAAGATTTTTTTTTTTAAAACATTAAGAATAGCTACTTTGATTATACTACTTGATACTTTGTTTTTTTTTGTTTTTTTTTTTTTTCAGTGTTAAGGTGACCTCTATGGCCGGGGGCTTATTATTAGATAATTAACAATGTTTACAATTATGATGAGGGTATAACTAGCTACATGTACAACTTTTGGTTGTCTATTTAAGTAGTCCACCTGAGTTCTATACTAGCCACCATACCTGCAATCTAACTAGGAGATTATCTATTTAAGCTCTCTGGCTTTTACAAGTAAGAGTATGACTAGCCATACTTGCAACTTTTGGTTGCCTATTTAAGTAGTCTGCCAAGGTTCTACACTAGCTACCATATCTGCAATCCAACTAGGGGATTGTCTATTTAAACTCTTTAGTCACAACTGACCCATCATTTCTTACCTAACCAAGGTGTAACTCACTATTCATATACTAGATTTTGCAACACCTATAGATTTTACACCCTATTTAAGACTAATTTATCCTCAAGTTAAACCTAACAGAGTAGTACATGTCCCACACATGTATTTACCTGCATGTTTGGTAACTTTTTCTTAATCTAGTACCTGTTGTGTTGCTGCTACTGGGTTCATGTCTTAAGCTATCTTTTAGAATACTGCTATATCTTATATTCTTCTTTTCTAATATAGTTTTACTGTTTTTGTTAAAAATTTTTGTTTTGAAAAGTTGGTCCAAGTGATTATTGGCTTTAATTATATTAATTTTTGTTATACTATATATATATATATATATATATATTTTTTCCTTTAATAACTACATACTAAAATTTTATTAAATATTTACTACTTAAAACACATTAAGCTATTTAATAATTTAATTAGACTAAAACCCGGCTGTCCCTTCGAGATACTCAAGTTTGGCTACCGCACTGATGTTGGCCACCTTATCCCACATATGTTGTGACATATTTAAAGATATGGTCTAGCCTGGGCTCAGCTCCTATCAAATATTTACAAACTTTTATTCCACCAACTCGGTGGGTTAGAACTTAAAATTCTCTGTCTTACCGCAACCTCTGACAAATGTCTTACTTCTGAATCTACCAATTGATCCATCCCTACTATCTTTATTCGCTTATTCATCCTAGGTTGGTTTGCAGCATCATTACTCGGACCAGGTGTGATGTTCTCCTTTTCACGAGGCCTTTTTTTTTCTTCACTTTTCTTAGGTCATTTTTTCTCGGCACCAATATTATTTTCTTTTTCCCATGCGATGAATTTTCTACATCTATCGCTCCATATTAATTTATGAAAGCATTCTTGCATACCAAAGCTAGCTGCTTTTAGAGTTTCTAGAGCTACGGCTTCGTTCTCTAAAATATTACTTAACCACGAAAGTATGCTGTGTTTAAAAAAGCCCTTTGATAAAAGACTACGCGCCTTGACTCTTTCCACTAGCGATGAACCAAGAACTGCTCTCCACAAATCTTGAACTGTTAAAGCTACTCTATAAACTTCCTCCATTGATGCCCAAGCTAAGCTAATGCTAAACTTTTCGATTTCTACCCATGTTTCATTTAGCACCTGACACTGCATGAGGTGATCTGCATTTTCCTCCTTACTATCTTCGCACAGAATGCAAATAGGATCTAGATACACAGAGAGACTTCTCTTGTATAGAACACTTTTTGTTGGGAGTGTTCGTGACAAATTTTTGATATAGCCCACTAATCTGAGACTTTTTTCCATTAAGTTGCATCTCATGCCTCTGTACTCTTTAAATCTTCCCCAACAATTACCCCAAACCAAGTCTTCTGCTTTTTTGTTTTCGCCATGAAGGTGTGACTTTTTTTTGCATATACTAGCTGCTTTTAGTTTTTATACCAGTAACTTGAAGTATAAAAGCTCTAATTGAGGAGTCTACTTGTTCATCTTGCCACCTTATACCAAAAGGCCATCTAGATCCAAAAAATTCACAGATTGACCAGTCTTCGTCTAAGTTCGTACCTTCTTTCGCTAGCTTGTCTGCTATTTCGTTCCACTTAATACCACTATATGCTTTAACCTTGTTTAATACTATTTTGAGCTCTTTAAACTAAATCGTTTCCACTATCTTATCTACAATTAGGTAATTCTTTAATTTGCTCGATACTCTAAAACTTCTATTTTCTAATGCTTTCTAGATACTATAAATTGCAACCATACTATCCGTATTAATCTCAACTGTACTTCCTGAGCATATTGTTAATAACGCACACCAGATCGCTACCAGTTCGGGTCTTGATGATGAAGGCCACTTTTCCACCCTTATACTATCTCTGGTGACTTCTACTTCGGGTTGTTCTATATGTATTTGTATCCACCCTGCTCCCATTAGATCAATATTTGCAGATTTATTATTTGGATGTATCAAGGATCCATCCGTAAAGAACACCGGGTTTTTGGTTCTTTTGTGTAAGTTGAGATTTATATTTTTAATTAACAACTTTTCCACTTTTGGTTTAAAGTGCTAACTTTTAATGAAGGTGATGTCTATGTTTTCGATTGGCTGCAGCTTTACAAAACTCTTCTCGATACCTTGCTCAAGAACAGTAGGTGCGAAAAACTAGAGTGTAGGGATTAGTATAGACCATTTATTTTCTTTCTTAATGATACTTTTAACTTGATGAAGGTCTTGTGTTATCGACTTCTTGCCTACACATTGATTTGCTTCCTTTGCTATATTTATACTACATCCAGTATATCGGTGCAGTAACCCTGTATTGTGACTAGGCTCTGTTAGCTAGTGTTTGAAGTATGTATCTTCACCGTTAGCTTCTAAAACACGACCGATTACCAGAGCTGTTGAATCTTGATCTTTCAGTACTATCCAAGGCTTGTATCTCTTGTCCATTTTTGATTTCTCGAGCTGTACTGGGAGATACATTGGATTTCTGCGGCCTAGCTGATATTCTCTTTTTAGTATTCTTCTCTCAGCTGTAACCAAAACCTTCTTTTCTACTTCGCTAAACCACCGTGCTTTCATTCCAGTTATACCTTTACCCCTTAGAGCTCTGAGCTGTTGCCATGTTAATAGTGTGTAGCCTTCATAATCAATTATTTGCCCTAAGAAAAAAATTTCTAAATTGATGCAAGAGTTTTCACTCTTTTCAAATACTTTGGGTAGTATTAGATCCTCTATCATAGGGCCTGTGCCCTTTATTTGCCACCCTTGTTCATCTGTACTAAGAAATACTTCGAACTGTTTGCACCTTTCAACTGTGTTACAGGTGATATTGCCTCTTCACCTAGTCTTGCCCATCTCAGCAACAGTACACTTCCAAAAATCTTGGCTTATCCTTTTACGAAAAATACATTATCTAATTCTAAGCCTTGTAATTCTACCTATTGTGCCTATATTATTTAAGCTCTTTAGAAGCACAACCGCTTGTCTTGCTATGAGTATACTAGAGAGTGGTCGAAACCCTAGCATGCTGTTATGCAATATAATATTGTTCAGACATGTTTGAGCTATTCCTAACTTTCTTT